GGATCAGCACAAATTTTTAATTATTAAATTTATTTTATTTGACTTGTAAAGTGTTTTTCTAATACCTCCATTTGCAAAATCAGATTGTTTTCATTTTGCAACTAGACTAATGAAGTGGACCATGGCAGGGAGCAACTAAAGCTTAGTTGTCAGCCAGACTTCCAAGAGCTCAGGTTGTAACTTGGGCTGTCAGTCAGTCTGGCACCTGTCAAAGTGGAAGACACTATGTGTCCACTAGATGCCTGGAAGTACCTCTCTAGCTGATGTTGAAGCCTAAAGTATGAGTGATATGTTCATCACTGCAGTATCTGTTTGAGAACTTGAGTTTTTAGGCAGTGATGGAGAGGAAGTTCTGTTGGCAGGGATCTACTTAGGCTGTTGGTAATTGTCTTGGCCACCAGAGAGGCTCTTTGCAGGTTTTCTTAAGTGAAATAAGAAGACTTTTGACATCAAAAATAATATCCTCATGCAATATCTCAGCAGAGGAGCTCTTCACCTGATGTATCTTCAACACTTGCTCTGCTTACATGGCTGTCTCAGAAACTGTTTGGCCTTTATGATCCTAGCAACTTGTGCAGAAGCTTCTTAAATGGTACTTACTTTTCAGAATAGCTCAGAATTTGTTTTACTTATCAGGGAGAAAGAATATCGTGATCTAGGTTTTCCGCCCCTTCCTCCTTCTTCCTTTCTCTTTTTTAATCCTTGTTTGCTGTATGGGAAGCCTAGGGAAAAACATAGCTATTGTAGGAATTCCCTCAGTTCCAGTCAGAAGGAAGCTCTCTCAATAACTGAATTCCCACCATTACACACACAAAAAATATTTAGAAAACATAAGATAATTGAAGCTAGGATTAGTAACACTTAAAAATCCAATGATAAGCCAAGTACGTAGCCTTTAAACTTTCACTTGCAGCCATTAAACACCCCACTTCTCAAGTTTCAAGTTTAACTTTGGCTTCTGTCTTCACATCTTACAGCAGTGTCCTTTCCAAATCCTTATGAGTACATCGAGTGACAGTGCTGCTTTGCAGCCACTAGAGTGGTAGTAAATGGGCTTAAACAGATGGTATCACAAAGGGCCCACAGGTAAATGACTATTCCTGCGTGTCCTGTTAACCTATAATGTTTCATGGAATACACTGCCAGATCCCCTTTCCAAGGAGGATGGGCACATCTTTTAGTCAAAAAATACTTTGTGGGAAAAAAACAAAAACGCAACAACCCTGTTGGAGACTTTAGAGACTTTTTGTCATTGGATATTCTTTCTTCAACTAAAAGTAATTGTATAGATGCAGATAGCTACAATGTATATATTTATTTCTTATTTTCTACATCTTGTAGCTCTTCAGAGGAAAAGCCCAAAAAGCATTATTTTTGGAAGCATATTTTTTGTAAATTACTATTTGAAAATTTTTCAGAACCTTCATATTTTATTGTGATCTCATGCTTAAAATTTTGCCATACTTTTTATGTCCCATTCAAAAATCACTGTGTGTTTTTAAAGAATGCTATTAAATGAGACTCTTCTATTGTTTAAGTCTCATGCCCTTAATCTTTAAATATTTGTTTGTTTTGGTTTCCAAAGAGATGTGACCTTTAAAAAGGGCATATGCCTTTAAAACAAGATACCTCATTTACCTCCTGTTCTATAAAATGAGGTGAAAGAGGGGTGATATGATAAATATGGTGGATCTCTGCTCCTGAGCTGGGTGACAAGAGGACAGTTGCCTCTATCACATGCAGGCATTGCAGTGTCCTTCCGCTCTCCCCAGTGGCTTTTTCCTCTGAAGTTGGCAGGGTGACACAGATGACAAGTTTCCTGTTCTCCTGGCACTTCAGAGAGCAGAATTTGTGTCAGTCCCAGTCCTTTGGCATCTAATGAGAGAAGATTCAGAAGAAGAACGGAGACATAGTGTCTGTGTTCCCAGTACTCTCCAGTTGGTTGGCTGCCCAGTTTGGGAGCAGCGGCTTTAACCCTGCCTGGCTCCAGGGCCAGGCCAGGGAAGAAATGAACTCCTATAGTAATTTCTTCCCTTGGAACATTATAAGCAAATTTTTTTTTAAAATATTTTGCATCCTTTCAAGTTTGTTAACTATCCATTCTTTTAGGGTTTGGATTTTTTTGCTACTGTATTTCTTTTGAAGCCTTAAGAAAGATTCTTAAGGAGTCACAGGAGTCTCGTGGAAGTGGTATGTTTGTGCAGGCTTCACGACTTGGACTTGGTTAATCCATAGAGTTTACCACAGATGGTGACTTATAACCAAGTTCAGTTCACCAGCAGTTTCTGAGAAACAGAAATCCCTGGAACAACCTCTTTTTTTTTTTTCTTCTTTTTTTTTTTTTTCTTTTTTTTTAATGTTCTTCTTTTACCTAGGGTTTCAAAAATGAGGCAACTTTTTATATTCCTTATAGTCACTTTGAAAGGGAAGTGGCTTTCCTCCTTAATTTTTTAGGTGCTAGGAAAGGGGAATGCTAACTTCTCAAGAAAGACATGGAACTAATTTCTTACTTTTTCTTCTCTCATTTCTTCCATTCCCCAGTATCATACTTCATCTCTGCCACTACAGTTATTGAGTTTTCTGCACACTAGTAGCTGAGAACATTGACAAAATAATTTAATGCTGCTCCATAAGTTCTGAAACCAAGAAGATTGTCTTTGTCTTTGCCTTTCGGACTTCCTGCAGCAGTGCAGTGATGCTTCCAGAACTCTCTTTGATTTTACTTCTTCTGTGTAGAAAGCTTTAAAACAAAACCAAGACCAATTCTGCCAGTTTGATTGAGTAGATTCAGGCGTTGTCTACATGTGTAGGTGTGTTTTCTTACTAAACTTTCATAGGGTTCTCAAGTATATCTGCATATAAATGAGATATTGTGTGCACGTATACACATGTGTATGTACATGCATATGCACACATATAGTTACTAAAAATAAAAAACCTCATTTTTTTAGTTCTTATAAACTGAAGACTTGCATCCTTCTCTCAGTATGTAAGTTCTGTACTTCTGCAGAGCAGACAGAACTGATAAATAGATGGTGACATCCCACAGCTAGGTAGTTCCCCTGCTGGAGAAAGAAGAATTATAATTACCTGCTCTACTTTGAGCAGATGATTTTGAAAAGTGACCAAGCCATGGACCATTTCAAGAGAGGTATTGGGAGGTTGCGACTGAGTTTTAATAGGCCAAATGCCATCTGCTACCAGCAATTCATAACATTTTATCATTGACAACTGTAGAGGAATGAGGCAGTCTGTTTTGGTGGAATGGACAGATTTCTGTCCATCTGTGCTTGTATTACAGCATGTCACTTGTATTTTAGATCTGCATAGCTCTGAGCCAAGATAGAAGCCACTGCAAGGTCAAGAGGTGGAGAAGCCTGTCAGCACATTCTGTCTCTAATGATATGACAACTGCAAATTGGTGCTTGAAGCACAGCCTGGAGGCAGTCATTATGTTGGGCCTTGAAGCTCAGCTTTCTCTAATATCATTTCCAAGGAAAATGCTAACTTCTGATGCTTCTAATTAGCCAGGAGTTTAATCTGTTGTAGTTTAACGTCAGATCGATTCCTGTGTCTCTTGAAAAGAAAAAAGCCTAAAAAATATAGGAAAAAAAATGTTAGGAGATTGTGTATAGGTTTCTATGGTTGTTTTTCCTGAAATAAAAGCGGATGCTGCAGCTTTCCACTGGCTGAATTAGATAGCTTTGCTGTATTTCAAGCCTCTGTTCCATCTCTGTATCCATACATCTGCTGTCTTTTCCTTTCTTTCTTTGTAAGTTTACACAAGGAGTTGGGTTAATAGTTTTATGAGACTAGAGACTTGACTCCAGCAGTGACCTTAAAGATATGCTGATCTTCCTCTGTTTCACTAGTGCCTACCAGATTGTTGTTGAGGAGCTGCACCCTCACCGAACAAAGCGAGAAACGGGTGCCATGGAGTGCTACCAAATCCCTGTCAGCTATCAAACTGCTCTTAGTGGGGGGTCACCGTATTACTTTGCTGCTGAGCTGCCCCCAGGAAACCTACCAGAGCCAGCCCCCTTTACCGTGGGTGACAACAGGACTTACCAGGGTTTCTGGAACCCGCCACTGGCTCCTCGGAAGGGCTACAACATCTATTTCCAGGCCATGAGCAGTGTTGAGAAGGTAAGTGTCAACCACACCTCTCTCCTGGAGGGAATCAAAGAGATGCCAGTGGTGATAATTAGGACTGCCAAAGTTAGACATAGTAGGTGTTGGCAGTGGCAGGGCTGTAATCCCTTCCCTGCTGTGACAGGGTGGCAGTGTGCCATTCACATTTCACACCACCCTTGTATCACAGTAGCTGCTACTAGATGGGAGTTTAATACACCTTGTAATAGTAAACATCTCAGCAAAGTCATTTCAGTGCTGTGACTCCACCTCCTCAGTAAATAAGATCCACAGGCCATTCCCCAATTCTCAGTACTTGCACACTTCAAAAGATTAAATTCCTGAAGGATAAACTGAACGTAGACTGCTCAGCAGGCTAATAAAACTGTGTTACAAACTTTTGGAGACTCTTACACGTCAAATAAAAACTAAAATTTGTTTAAGGGAACGTAGCCCCCGGCCCACAGTGTGTTTTTGAGAGCCTTTCTGGAAAGGTGTACTTGAGGCTTGCTTCACTGCTGTGCAATAGTAAGGGTATGGCTCTCGCTCACCTTTGTTGCCTCCTTGGTGTTTCATTTTTAACTCTGTCACTGAGCACTGCTGGTGGCTCTCTATGCATATGGAAGGGGGAAAACCACCAGGGAGAGAGGTTCCAGGTGAGAAGAACAACTGTTGCTCTGCAAGCCCCATGCTATTTCCCTTGGAATGGCTTTTCCTCTCAAAAATAAAAAATGAGGGAGGGGGAAGGTGAGGATGGAAAATGTGGTAGACACAGAAGCTTCAGGTATTTAAAAATGTAGGGATTTTTTTTAGAGTTGAGGAGATTAAAGGAAATGAGAGTTTAGAAAACTGAAGGTGATACGTCCGTAAAAGTCTCCATGGGAAGCATCTAGGCAGGTCAGGAAGGAACTGCCTGATGAACAGCCAGATCAATAGCTGCTGAGACTCACCGGAGCCATTGGAAAGGAGCAGAAGCCATGTGTACCCTCACATTTGGGTCTCTGTGGTAACTAAACAGATCTGAGCTAACAGGCAGCTTCGCCTTGGAGCCTTGGAAGAAAATCCCACCTTCTAGCTGTGGACATGAAAATTGCATATTCATCAAGTCAGAATGGGGACAAAGCAGGAGCTAATGAAGCTGTACTGGAGCTGCTTGAGAGCTGGAGGCTTTTTCTGATGGAAAAGACTATGTCCCCTTTTGAATTCCTATCTATAGACATGGATGAAGTAAACAAAGCAAAATGAAAGGTAACTGCTAGTCAGTCGTATTTCCCTCACCTCCCGTATATAAGCGCTTTGCTTTTGTTGGCTTCCAGCTGACTAAAATGTAAGAAAATTTGTTTCATTCCCCAATAAATAAATGAGAGGTAAAAGTAACCCAAAAATATTAAATACCAAAATAGATCTTTACTTTGGCTTTTACATTTTGGCAGATATGTAACAGATGAGGGAAGAATAAATTATTTTTTTCCTTTAACTTTATTTCAGTTTGTGACAGAGTTTAATCCCAAAATTGTTTTCTCTGGTGTGATTTAAAACTTTGGATCAGATTTCTGTTCCTAGAAGTATTTGGGAGGAGGTTTTTGCGTGGACTGCCCTGCATTCTTGCCAGGATAGAGATCTAGTGGTTGTTAAGATAACGTCTGAGCTGCAGAATATTTAAACAGGTGCTTGACTATAAACAAGTAGGCTCACCACAATAGTCAAAAGAAAGTAAAGTATGCTCTGAAATAAACTGTGGGGTTGAGATGGGGGTTACTTTGTCATCCTGGCAGACATTTTGAACAAAGTGAGCAAGTACATCCAGTAACTGGGAAGAATGTGGGTTAGGTAAGATTTTATCGATAAACTTTGCAGGGCTTTTATTTAGGTTGAAAAATTGTCTTTATGGAACACCTAAAGGAAGCCTCAACTCACAGCTTTGCTCAGTCTTTACAAGTTGTGTTTACAATATAGCATCAACATATTTTACATGTTGCTTGGGAATCTTCAAGAGGACAGAGATCCCAGAGGATGTATTCATGGATGGCGTGTGGGGGCTGCAGGGCTAGAGGGACGATATTTTATAGAATGAAACTGTCATTATTATATTTTCTAATTACATGCTAATACTGTTTAGAGTGATCTAATACAGCAGCAGCTGCATTCTCTCATGCAATCTTATGCTATTTCAGTACGTTTGCCTTTAAAATGACTGCACATTGTACAGAGAGGTCAGAAAACCCATTTATGACTGACCCTTGTCTGTTCAGGTTGTCTAAACTGTGCATAACCAAGTCAGTTCTCTGTTAATTTGTTTCAGTTGCTGACCAAACTTCTGAAGGGGGGAAGGGTGAGCAGGGAAGCAAAAACATAAAAAATGTCTTTGCATGTGCAACTTTTTCTGAAGCACATCACTGTCAAATCACTGTCTTTCCTAGGCAGTTTATATGGTTTGTAGATTAGCAATGTCATGTGTGAAGGGATGTGACTGCTTTTAGGCTGCTTCTATGCTAATTCCTCGCTCTGAGGCCTGAAGGAGCATGTTGCTGACATGCTTCACATGACTCTTTTCAAGACCATCAGGATGCAGCAAGACAAGTTAGTTCAAACGCAGTGCTGAACATTCTTATGGCATGACTACCATTTGATTTGAGTAATCTGAAACATGGCTACATCTGGGCTGTCTTGCACCTTTTCTCCCCATTATTATCCTGGATAGTACGGATCAATGTCTAGATTTCATCCAGGTTTAGTAAAGGCAGAATCACTCAGCATCTTCTCCTCAGCTAAGCCCAAAGCCCTGAGCCACCTTGTTGAGTTGCTCCAGCTGATCAGCAGATCTGGGGTGAATTAATGAAACAGGGAGGGCAAGAAAAACCAACCTGATCTGACTGATTTCTTTACTTTTCCCTCCTCAACAGGAAACCAAAACTCAGTGTGTTCGAATAGCTACAAAAGGTAAGAGGTTTGTCCCTCCAAGAGAAGTAGCTTTTTTAATGAAATGTGGAGTTTCTGTTAAATGTTTTAACAAAAGCCAGTACTGTCCCTCTGTTTTGGACCACTTGGTTGTCTTAAAATGTAATAACAGTCTACTGTTTTTATTCTTTGGAATTTAGCCAAGAGAGTGCTGTTGTAGCAATACTCAGGATTTAGACAAAGTTAGTACCTCTTGGTTTTCCCTGTCTGTGGTTTTCAAGATCTGCTCTTAGGCAGCTGGAGCATTGCAGATGGCAGGTAGAGGGGCTGCAGACTAGAAAGCACACTTGGTAAAAACTGTCTCTTGTGCTAACAGTTACTACCAGGCAGGGTGGGAATAATTCAAATGAAGGACACAATAGTTAATTTTCCTAAGTAAGAGCTCCGCCTGTTAGCTAGACATAGGGGAGGGCTGATTTGGGAAAGGCTTATGTCTTTGATAGCAAGTGAGGCCCAGGGCTAAGACTTGGCTGCATAGCTGAGAATAAATCATATTGACCTCACATACAGTGGGTTAATCACATACTGCTCACTCAAAAATACTGTTTCGTCTTTAAATGAGGACTTAGTTGTTCTGCTTATTATTATCTCTTGCTTTGGCTGTATTTATAGCCATTCATTTTGGTTACTTGATTTTGTCAACATGAGAATTGTTTGATGGACTGCAGCAGCATAAACAAGAAAGGAGCTTACAAATGCTGAAAGAGTGCTCTGCAGAGGCTCAGCACTAGTTACATTGTCTCTTTCTAATTGCATATTGATATTCAGCATAAAAACAGCTTTAGATTTAAGCAAGTGAGCATTTAAAGTACTGTGGTGGCACATCAGCACCATTCTTTCAGTCGGTTCATTCAATTTAAAACTTGTTCCAATTAAGAGCTGATGCCTCTAATGAGGTGGTAGCAACAAAGTGTTTTCTTGTGAAACCAGGAAATAAAATGTACTTCTCAAGATGTGTTAATATTTTCATCAAGTGAGGTAAACTAAGAAAAACAGGAAATTAAGACCTTGAGCTAAGTCTTCTAGGAAAAATATATCAGCACTATCTTATGTTTACCTGACAAGACTAAATGTTTTAATTAAAATATATTTGCATAAACAAATATTTATGAACACAAGTGTGTATTGCTAGGATTTTAGTCAAGGGAGAGTCATGAAAGGCTCAGAAATATCCTCAATTACCACAGATATATGGAATGAGGAAGAGGAGAACAATGGTCTCTCTCATAAATTTTCTGAATACTAATAACAAAATGGGGAAGGAGTTCACCTGGCTTATGAGGAAATTATTTAACCATATTCAGTCCATCAATGTCAAAGCAGTGTTGACAGGAGCAGTAGTCCTGGTGGTTGCTCATGTGCCTTCCTCTGCCAAAGCAGGCATCTGCACCCCAATGTCTGTGGTCAGAAGGGAAGGGAGCAGCACGTCTCTTAGATTTGTGCTGTCAACCTTGCCTTTGCTGCTCTGGCTGAATTGCTGCTCTGCTCATGTTTTCGTGAAGCATCTGTCCTGTCTGATATGTCAGCACTGCATTCCTTGGCTGTGGAATTGGAAATCAAATGTTTTCTCTGACTTTATCATATTTGATAGACGCAGAATATGGGGGGAGGCAACATTAGGAGCAAATACTTTCTCTTGCTCCTAATAATGCATTTGATAGGGAATGATTGCTTCAAAAGCACCTATATTCATACCTCTGGAATGAGTTTTATTGGTATTCTAAAGCATTTTTAAAAAGGTGATACTGAGATTTTTTTCCCCCATGTTTCCATTCATGACTTGCTGTACTTGAATAAAGGTGAACTTAAGATAGTAGTTTATGTATATGTTCATCTGTTCATGCAGATTTTTTTATAGTGTGTAAGTTTGCTTTGAATTATTAACCTATGGGATGTCTGATTATATTTGTAATATATTCATAGGGAAAAGAGGACTGTCTCACCTTACCTGATGCACTGCAGTAAAGCCAATGTACCCTTTTATAAAACAGCAGATTGTCTAAACTATGTAGTTAGTTATAAAAGTAGTGTGTAGTTCTGTAGTTCTGAATTTTCCCTTGAACATGTTGAAAAGGCATTGAAAATCATGAAGAGCTGGGCTGAAAAGGGGAGGAGAGAAACGATATTAAAGATGTGTTTAAAGGCAAGAGAAAATTTCTCTGGTAGTGAAGTTCAGTGTAACTAGCAAAGATATTTTCTCATTTGTCCCTCACTCAAGGGTCTGGTGTTTATCTGCTGTGCTTATTCGCACTGGTAAGATTTCAAGAAGGAAAAAAACAATGGTAATAATGTCAGGGCTTATTGCTGGAGAAGTGCATATCCCTGAAAATGCAATCTTGATAATTTGACTTCCTTAAATTTGTTTTTCCCCTGAGTTTGATGTTGGTTTTTTTTGATGTTGGTTTTTTTTTTGCTTGGGCAGTTCCCTATTAATATAATATACATGTATTTTAATGCATAAGGAGTTTTGCATGTGTCATTCCCATGGATTGCCTTCTACCTGTGAGAACTGATGGAATAGTCTGTTTATTGGTGTCAAATTAATGAAAGGCAGCAAATTTAAATGGAAGCACTCATACCTTTTCAGCCCATATATTCCAGATGCAAAGTTTTTTGCACTTCTGATTACAACATGCACTGAAGTGTGAACTTATCGAGAGAAGCGGCGCCAAATCATGACTAAAGTATGTTGCTGCTGTTGGTTTTGCTTGAAAAAAATGTTTTTATAGCAAGCTGAGGGGCTTACTAGTGTCTGGTGTATTAAAGTACACTGAATTAATTTTTCATGGAAGAAAACATTGGAACAGCATCAGATTAAAAAGTAGTCTCCTGAGCAGTTCCAATGTACTTGCAGCTAAGGGATGAATGCCAGAGTGATTCCTTGATTGCCTTGATTTAGGGTAATAATAGGATTCCCCCTTTATCTGGACACCTATTTCTGCAAAGCTTGTAAGAATTTAATGACTTTGTGACTTTTGGCCTTCTGCAGATTGGACTGAATTGGACAGGAAAGTCCTAAGTTATTAAATGTGCTGAGGGGGTATGAAATGTGTACACAGTTTGTTCACATAAGCTTTGATTCTTGAGGAAACCAAGTTAAAAATAACTCCTTGTGATGCAGGTGATGGGTAGGAAATACCTAAAGCACCATTTCCAATACAAGTATAGCCCCAAAACTGTGTGCACTGTTTCAATTCCTTGGATATATTGGCCAATATTGCCTTCCGTTGTCAACCAAATTGCCTCCCCATTCAGATCCTATTAGTAAGCAGTGTTCTGATCAGTATCATTAAAAAAACAAACAAACAAACAAAAAACCCAAAACCAACCACAAAACACAAATCAAACAATAGTTGATTGTTCTTTAGCTTGTTATTTTCTGAATCTGTGTAGTAGCATTAACAAATTGGTAATAATCTGGTTTCCCTGTACATAGCAACTGAAGAAGGAAAAAAAAACCCCTCTTATTTTCTGAAGTGTTGAGCAGGGTAGAGAGATTCAAGTTAATAAGTTAGGTATTCATTAGGAACAGAAAGATGGAATTATGCTAGGAAATGTGTGGGTTTGGTAAAAAAAAAAGAAAAGAGAAAGAAAAAAGTGTTAAATGTAATTTCTTAAAGGATGTTCTCAAGCTTCATAAAACTTATTTGGTAAGGCAGCATTGAACCAGTCCATAGCATACTCACATCACAATAAGTACATGATAACTGCACCTGCGTAACCAAAGTATTGTTACAGGAGGGAATAAAAGATCCATGATTCCCATATCGTGCACTTCAGAGTAACACATGATGTTGATGACTGACCAGTTGCATCTTGGAGTTGAGTTTGACTGTGTAGAACTTTGAAGATAGCTTGCCACTCACACAGGACATTGGCATTTCATTTTCCAGTCTAATATGTTACCAACTGCTAGAGGAATTAAGCCAGATTAACATGGTCACAGAAGAGTGATGCTTCAAATTATTTAGCATGTAAATAGACATTTAAGAGGACAGAAGGGACAGCAGAGCTGTTATTAAGCAGAGAGTATATGAAGTTGACATTTCTGACAGTTTTTAGGCTGCCAAGTTTGAGGCTAACAGTGATTTATGTGTATTTGTTTTGTTTTGCAGACTAGAGAAAAATATTAAAAATTTAATTAGAAGAAATCTACCATGGCAGTAAATAAAGAAGTGGTGGGCCTGGTAGCATTTTCCCAAAGTATTTAGAAGGAATAAATGAAGTCCAAGGTTCATCACTCCACATTTAAAAAAATTTTTTAAATTAATCAACTCCAAAATAATTTTCCCTTGAGGTTTTAATTTTATTATTAGTTCAGACAGTGTAGAACTTAGCTATCTCTATGCACATTTGATTCATACAGATGGATGAAAATGCCATTTGAGATGATGCACATCTGGAAGTAATTGTGAAATAGCAGAAAATGACTTTTTAATCTGATTTGAGGAATAAAATGGTCTGGGTGGTAACATTTCAACTGCAAGTGTGCATTTAGTCCACCATCATTATTGCTCTGAATTCGTTCCCACAGCAGTTGGGGATTGATCCAAAGGCCTTTGATGTCAATGGGAGTCCTTCCGCTGACATTAATGTGCTTTGGATTAGGTCTTTAGAAGTCATAAATCTGTCTAGACCGTAATTATTTCCTTGAAATTGTTCCTGATGATGTTTCTGCTCTTAGGGAAATTTGTGAAAGTCAAATCACCTCCTGTAGCAGGATGCTCAGAATGTCTGTTACTGATTAGTGCACAAATGAGGGAAGATGTCAGATGCTAAATGTATATGAAATGAAGCTTCTCACTGTTGTTTTTATGTTTGGATAGATGCTCCTACAATGACTTTTAGCTGTACCATCATAAGAGGCACTGGAGACATAAGTGGCAATATAAATTTAGAGGAGAATGCAGATGTTGCCCAAGTCATATCTTGTTTTTCACTCATTCCTAGGAAAAAGCTATTAATATGTTTAAACTTCAGTG